GGGAGGGAGGGAGGGAGGGTTGAAGGGGAGGGATGGTTGAGATGGATGGACAAGGGGGAGAGGCTTCAGTGGGTGAACAGCCGGTCATTTTAGTGTAAGCATGGAGACGGGAAAGGAATGAGGAGGGAAAGGGAAGGGGAGGAGGGGAAGAAACGCAGAAGCATTGAAGAGATATCAAACCCTCCGCGGTAATTAAAAAGACGACGGCAGGAGGGAGACCCGTGTGGGAGCCAAAGGGAGAAGAGGGTGGCAATTCAGGAAAAGGAGGGAGGGAAGGTTGGCGCAGCGGAGAGAAGGATAGCTGCTTTAGTCGTCCAGTACGACGTAGAAAGTACACAGGATGTTGTATTTTTATTAAATGATGGTATCTTTGCCCGCTTGAATGGCTGAACAGCCTTTTCTTGGTACACGCAAACGCTTAATTACATGATGTATGTATTTTGCTCATAAACAGATTCTTCCTCCACACAGGCACGTCGGCTGAAAATGGAAGCCACCTCTTTTTCCCCTTCAACGCCCTTCAACCCCCTGATCTCTTAGTCAACGAGTAGAGGAACTGCTTGGACACCTTCCCTTCCCGGTGCAGGCATACCATGTTCTTCTCCAACAACTTCTGGACTTCGAACCACACGGGCTGTTCATTGCCGTACTGTCTGGCTTGGGCCGCCAACATGAAAAATCTCATGTCCTTGTCCTCGCATCCTGGCACATGGTGCGCGAAGGAGATCAGAGCGGTGCCACCGGGGCAAAGCGTGGAATGCAGGGACTGCAGAAGGTTTCCATGCTCCCGGTGCAGCCAAAGACATTCGCCCACCAATGCCAGGTCGTACAGCCCACTGCTCCTCCCCTCTGTGCGCACCTTGCCCAAGTCGTCGCCCGTCTGTCTCAAGCATGCACGCACTTGTCCGTTCCTGGTGCTCTCCTCTCCCAACAACCCTGCCGTGTCCTTCCCCCACACATGTCCCATGATGCCCACCCGCCCTGCGGTTTTCCCTGCTCCCAACCACGCGGCATTGCGACGATCCTGCAACGTCCTCTCGATGGCTTGCAGTAATCGAGCGTCCGGATAGTCGGTAATCATCACGTAGGCGCCGCCGTGCCTCAAAGCCACCATCGAGGGTAATGCCCCCGCAGCTCCAAATTCGATGACGCGCTTGTCCCGGACAAACGAAGGATGGTTGTCGAGGTAACGAGCCAACAAAAGGCTACCATTCCAAATGGAAAACGCAAACAGGCTCCCATTCGCACCATCATCCTCGGCAAGTGAAATGTGCAGTTGGAAGGACGGGGAAATTTCCACGCGATGGCTGCCGTGCTTGTCCTGATCGGGTGCGGACGGTGGGCCTAATTGCTCTGCAAACCATGGTGGCAGACTAATTTCCTCCAGGCCATCCGCAGCTTCAGGCACCTGATCACTCAAAGACCGCAAGTCAGCTTCTCGGACGTCCTCCGCCATGCCTGTGCCTGTGAAAGATAGGACGTGTGGCATTAGTGTGCTGACCTCCCCCTCCTGTAGGTAAGGCGTCATCTCATGCTGGGAATGTGGTTCATATCCGTCAGCAGTCGGCGGCAGCGACCTCCTATATTCACCTGTCTCGTCGGCCGCATAAAAAGTGGCCGTGTCCGCCGGGAAAGGTCTCACACACTTGCAATAACACCTCCATTTCCCCGCAGGACTGTCGTTCTGGCTCGTCTGATCATGTATAAGGCGCGGCCGGGCTGTTTTTTCCCTGCTTGCTTGCCCCTTCTCTGCCCTACGATCCTGGCGCTGGGTCTTTTTTGGGTGGCCATAGTGGAGGGCTGGCGCATCCCTTTTGTTGCACAAAGCTGGAAATACTCAATATCAAGGTCACAGCATCAGCTTTCTCCTCGTTTGACCGCATTTAATGGCCTAAAGAGCAGGTAAGCAATTCCTTGAAGTGACGTGCGCCCCTCCCGTCCTTGGGCCGTATGCTTTCATTCACGCTCAAACACATCCTGTGCCGGAACCTTCATAGTTTTATTAATTGTAGTCATGACATTCCTTCTTACTTTTCTTGTCCGACAGTCCTCGCGTCGCTACCCGGCTTTTTCCTACCCTTTTGCCGACCGTTGACCCTCCGACTGGCCCTCCGCCTCCGTGGTTCATCGATGGCGTCAAATTCGAATGTACCGCCTGTGGAAAATGCTGTAAAGTCCAAGGTGATGTATGGTTATCTCCCAATGAGGTGGAGTGCGCCGCACGCTACCTAAGCCTGTCCCCAGAAAGCTTTCTCGCCACGTGGGGGGAGGAAGAGAGGCGAGGATGGATCCTACTGAAGAGTCGGACTTTTTCCCCCGCGCAAGGGGGAGGGGAGGGTTGTGTCTTTTTGAGTGACGACTTAAAATGCTCCATATACGATGCCCGACCTTTGCAATGCCGGACGTACCCGTACTGGCCGCGCATCATGCATTCCCGGGAGACGTGGGAGGCCGAGAAGGTTGTAAGGGAGGGAGAAGAGGGTGAAGGGAGGCGTTGGGACCCGGTAGAGGGGGGTTGTGAAGGAATTGAGCATGCAGAAGCCGGGATGGTGGATTTCAACAAGGTACGGCTGCAGTTATTGCTGCAAATTGGATACAACCGGGCTCTTCCCGGGGATTTCCTGCCATGAAACGTGTAGACTGACCTGAGCGAGACAGAATGCAGACGAAGACTGGGCGTGACTGAACGCAGGAAATCCATCCATGGGAGTGCATAGTTATGCAAATGATGACTATGAAAGGATGCTCTAACCAAGCTATAACGGTCTTATGTCGGGAGGAAAACAAGAAGGGACGTGTGAAGGAGGAAGGGAAAAAAAAAAGAAAAGATGTAAAAGCCATACAATCCGACCTGCCCTTTGGTTCTCTTCCTGTGATCACCCCTTCGTGCTGATATTTCACTGTATCCGCCACTTATAAATTTGCCGTCTGAACAACTTTCTTTCCGCAGCATTTTCCAAGCCCTCGGCACTTGTGCTGGGACCTTTCTGCTCAGCCGGACCCCGGGACTCTGTACCATCACCTTTCTATCCACATCTCCACGTCTTGTTCGCGACGATCGTACGGTTTTTGCACGACATATTTTTTCTCTTCCTTGAAGGTTTGCATTCGGAGGCAAAATCGACACAGGCTTCTTAGAAATGTAATTACGATCCTCGGACTTCCATATTCCTTCCATCGACTTCTCTACTTCAATATTGCCAAGAGGACGAGATATTACCTTCGTCCTCATGATACTATCCTCATGTATACACGCACACAAACACAGACTCGTGTGACGGAGTCAGAACCGATAGGTGGCCCCTCCCGTCCGAGACAACGGTCCCCTTACACGATCACTTCTCGTCACCCAAACGCCTTCCCCCTCGCGTTCCAAACGCTTTCCTCCTTGTCTTCCCTGCTACTCTCCAAGCCCTTCCGCCTTCTCCTCCCTCACGCCCTTTTTCCCGGTACTTTCTCGTCTCCCACCGTGCTCAAAGGGTAAAGGACTAAGGTATAGACAAGAATGATAACAGCTCCTCCAAACTCGCGCGCAAGCTCCATCTGGTCGTCTTTCATCCTGATATCCCCGTCCTGGTTAATGACCATCCGCAGGATCTGGCGGGAGAAAGAAAGAAAAGAAGGGAGGTGAAAAGCGCAGACGCCAAGGGATCACGAGGGGCCTCGGCGTGGCCCGCAGGACGACGCAATCAACACCTGACTAGCGACAGGGGGGAGATGGAAGCCCACACACAAGCCACGTACGTTTCCATTTTTGGCCTGGTAGTCCTTTTTGATGCCGGGGAGGTAGGTCGTTATCCAGTACAGGGAGACCAGGATGGCTGCTGCACGCGCAAGCTTGTCCACCAAAGAGAAAAGGCCGTGGCGTGTGTTGACTCCGGTCAAAGCCATCAGAGGCAAGAGCGCGGCGGTTGCCCAGTAGGTCACCCAAATTATGGGGTCAGGGTCGTTGAACTAAGCGGGGGAGGTACACGAGAAGAAAGCATTTGTAATTATCGAGAAAAAATACATTGCTCGCTTGATTTAAAGAAATCCTCGAGTAATAATCAACCTTCTGTACCTGTACGAGCGTGCCAAGTATGAACATAGCGAGGAAAAGAAGAGAAACAGTGCGCTTTAGGACCTCCATTGCGAAAGTGTTACGCCTGAAGTCGATTTCCACGTCTGTGTCACAATGTGTGAGTGATACGTTAAGAGAGTGTTAGGGACTAAAATTGTGCGAAGAGGTCAGAGAGCGTTTCCTCATTGAGGTAGCAAGATTCTCGAGATAACAGAACGGTGATGCAGACCCTGTCCCAACATGGTCCAACACGTCAGTGGCTGCGTCCCGGCCATCACACTTTGCACCAGAGGGATTCGCATGTGCCTGCGCTTGCACGGGAGATGTGACTGAATAGGGCACAGGGTCATATGGAAACAAATGCCTCGTATCATGTCTTTGATGGGTTATCAAGACACTGCACACCCCTTCAAGTTTGCCTTTGTGAACCTGGCTCATTGGCAGGATCACAGCAAGCTTGCACCAGGATACCCGGAAGTCTCCATCGACAGCTTCTAAAGCCTTCCGTGTGTCACACAGCTTTAGACACCGCCATGCCCCCCGCACCCTCACCTCCTGCAATCTCGATTTACACGTCGTGAATTTCGTTGGGGATACTCCGTGCCTATGGGCATCACTCAGGCTCGCCCATCGCCTAACAGAGAAGGGAAGTACTCGCCCGAAGAGGGAGCAACATGCAGCTAGATTGGTTCTTTAGAAGCTTTCGATGTTGATAAAAACCAACACGCTTTAAACCACCAGCCCCGTCATTTCCTCCCTCCTCTTGTCGTACCTAATATCCATAGCTCTTATGGCCGACATCACCACCACTGCAGCCCTTCCCCCCGAAGGTGCATCCATGAGCGCGACCGAAACGGTTCCCTCCCCTCCTCAGGAGACTGAAAAGCCGGCTCCTACAGAGGAGAGCGGTCCTGATTTAAGCTGGCTGCCCCCCGGGAAAAAGCCTCTGGCTGATGGTTTGTACGACGCTATTGTCATGGGCACGGGTTTGAAAGTGAGTGTGGGGACCGAAGTGGCTGGATGGAAGGAGGGAATGGGGTAAATGATGTGTCTGTGGTTCTAACAATGGTGTGTTTGGCCGGAGCAAGTGGGAGAAAAGCATGGCGAAAGTAGCTTTGAGACAGCCAGTCCAAAGGCGCTGGACACAAATTCGGCACTAACTTCCCTGCCGTTTGGACAGGAATGCATCATCTCCGGCCTCCTCTCCGTCATGGGGTTGAAGGTCTTGCACATTGACCGCAATGCGTACTATGGGTACGTGACTGCAGCGCTTCTTTCCTCCATTTGCTTTCTTGTCAGGATACTCGCCTTTCTAGAATCTTTGGCCCCTCGTGTGTGTCTTACCCAGTGGCCCTTTCCCTCTTTCCCGGGCCGTGTCCTCAATCGCCCTTACCTCTACCTCATTCCCTCCCTTCCCCCCTCTCTCGCAGCGGGGACTGTGCTTCTCTGAACTTGACAAATTTATATGCAAAATTCCGCCCAGAAGGGGCCCGAGACCCGCCCACGGCC